CCTGTAGTTAATATATAGGGTACTACAAAGTATTTCTGGAACTTAGAAATAAGCCAAAAATCTGAGAATGCTCTGATTTAAAAAAATCAGTATGCAATTGGGAAACTTTCTGGCTATATTAATATATTTATAGGTACTTGTATTTATAGAACTAAAGAGATGTCATCAAAGGCGATTGTTTAATTTTGGAACACAGAAAAATATCAAGTTAGGCAAAACTGCCATGCTGTTTAACAGTTTCCCAGGAAGAAAGGTTCCCTATCCTAAGGACTCAAAGTATCTGGCCCTGATACAGTCATGGCCCTACTGTAAAGAAGGATTCATTGAGTGTAGACTGGTGCAACCACTGTGGAAATCAATATGGAGATACCTCAGAGAACTAGTGCTAGAGGTTCCATTTGACCCTGCTATCCCTGTGCTGGGTATCTTTCCAAAAAGAATTAAAGGAATCATACCATGGTGATATATGTGCACCCATGTTTATAGTGGCACAGTTTGTAATAGCTAAAACTTGGAAACAGCCCAATTGCCCATCAGTTGGAGACTGGATAAAGAAGATGTGGTTTTTCTATAAAATGGAATACTACTCAGCCACAAAGAATGAGAAACTAGAGTCATTCTTAGGAAAATGGATGCATATTGAGTCCATATTCTCAAGTGAAATAATAAATCACATGTATAAATACTGAATAGTTTTTTCTGATGCAAAAAACTGAACATGTAAATAAGGTCCAAATTGTATATAATGTGAAATAGGAAGAAAAGGTCTAAAGGTGTAGGGGAAGTGGGAAGGGTAGGGGAAAGGAAATAAGGGACAAGAAAAAAATATGAGAAAAGAAAAAAAATGGAAACAAAGTCTTTGTAAATAGGGGAGGGTAGAGCGGGTGAAGGGAGGGCAGGGGTATGGGGAAAAATGAGAACCAAGATCTGTCATGTAAGTGTACAAGATTCCAATGATGAATGTAACTGCTTATAAAGTACCAAGAAACTCAGTAAGATTTAAAAAAAAAAAAAAAAGGATTCATTGATTATCACACTCTAACACACTCTTGGTTGGGATTCCATGTTCACCTATAATCTTTTGATTTTAGTGCAGCTGGACTGTATACTTTTCCTCAGGAAGAGATATTAATTTGTGTTTAATTGTAAATAAAACAAAACAAAATACCCTCAGGGACAAGCCTTAGGAGGGAGCAGATAGAAGTTGGTAATCAATGGGGGTTGTAGGTGTTAGGTCCAGATGAAGAAACTGCACTTGTCAGGCAGTTTTGTTTTTGGGATGGGATGTCCCTGTGTTGCCCAGACTTGCCTCAAACTTGTGATTCTCCTGCTTTAGCCTTAGAAGTAGCTGGGATTACAGGCATACATTTCTGTACCAAGCCTGACAGACAATTTTAAGTGTGTTCTTTTATTGGGTGTTACTCATTTGGAATTCTTAGATATTACTGATTTCTACGGTTTGCCATCTCTAAGTCTGTCTCCTTTGGGATAAGAGAATTGAGTTAGTGGTCCTGGAAGACTAGAAATCGTGTAAATTCACCAGAGGAATGTTACCTGGTGAGGCCTTTGACTTTACCTTATCATGTTTCCTACATATTAACCCTTCACTCTGAATAAAAATGTTACCTTTGTAATTGAGCCTTTTTTCCAATTTCCTTACTTAATCTCTAGTAATGAGACTAGGCCCTGGGTTTTAAAAATGGTTCTTGGGCTGGGGATTTGGCCCAGTGGTTCTGCTGCATGCCTAACAAGCACAAGGTCCCAAGTTCAATCCCCAGTACCAAAAAATAAAAAATAAAAATAAAAATGGTTCTTTACCTGCATGGGGGGAAAATAGTCATATCACTTTTGGTTCCAAGCTGCCTACTTTTTCTTTAGAGAAGTCAGTGACTAGATAAAATGGACTGTATTAAAATATTCTATTTACTTGATATTCCTATTTTTGTGTAACAAGAGTACTTATATAGCATTAGTAATCCCCTTCTATGGTAAATGGTACTACAGAAATAACTATATAGCATTATAAATTCCCTTCTCTAATAAATGGTGACTGGGAAATACCTACTATTTGAATTGTAAAGACCTCCTTACTCTGAGTGCATGTGTACATAATTATGATAAGTACTATATTAGAGGTATTGTAGAAAAGTAGAAGAAAGTATTCTCCGAAGAAAACTAGACCTTAAAAGACAAATAGGAATTGCTTAAATGTAGAATTAAAATAATCTCAAGTTAAGGAGAAACCATGAGTAAAGGTAGAAAAATATTTGCCGTGACTCTGTGTGCAGAACAGGAGAGAGGGTGTTTTGCACTTCAGTTTAGGCAGCTGATGGTAGTGGTGAGGACATAAAGCCAGAGCCTAGTTAGTTGGGATAAAACTGAAAACTGCTGCCTTGTTTCCTGTCAAAATTGAGAGTCATAATTTAAATTAAGAATGGTATTATCAGTTCCATTGTGTAGAGAATTTTAGTCTGGAAAAAATAGGAAGATGGATTACAAATCGATCACTTGGGGAAGGTTTTATAGTAAGAAATGGGGCAGAGTTCAACTAGGGAAAGAGAAAAGTTGAGGATATATGTTTGAAATGGAATCAGTAAAACTTGGTGACAAATGAGATGTTGAGGGTAAAGAATAAAGTCATAGGACACTGATGGCAAACCTTTTAGAGCTTTCACAGCTAACAAACAGCCTTCTCCAGCATGTGTATCATAGGTTCGCCACCCCTGTTCTAGGGAATCCAAACCAATGTTAGTGCAATAACTACGCAAATTAGGTAGTTTAATACTGGGTTTTTGTACATGTGGAGTTGGGACTGTGTTATCCACTAGGTAAATTGGAGTTTAGGAGAGACTTGGTGACACAGCTGTATTAGACAGTGCTTTTAGAATATTTAATGAGAGATGTATAAATTTACAAGAATTTGCAAGATTGGCTTCCAGTGGCTGCTGAGAGTCAGAAGATCCAAAGGATCCATTTGAAGGCCCTGGAGTTCACTGTAGTGTCCCGGGCGAGTCAGAAAGCTTTGAAGAGCCTGGCTAGAAGCCAGGGCTTCCAAGGTGACGCTCCTCTGAAGAAACAGAAGCGAGCCTTCCTTCTTTATTTCCTTTTATTTCATAAGGTGACAAACCTATTGGTTGCTGTCACTGACAGCCAGGATGGGTCATCTGTTTTAAGTAAATCTCTTCAACTACACCCAGAACTATGCTGATCCCATTTAACTGGCTGTTTCTTGAGTTGACACAATCGGTTAATCAGCAAGTTTGGAACTGTCTCTAGGTGCAAGGTGCTAATGTGTGCTATCTTAATTGTTACACAACCATGAAAAATAGGTACTTTTTCTGTTTTATAATTAAGAAACTTAAAGTCAGATATAGTTGCCAAGGTTACATAATCCCAAGCATGTTGTTGTTGCTGTTACTATCCTTCATGGTTCTAGAGTTGACTAACCTCAAAAAAACTCTAGCTTGGAGAATCTCACTCAGTTGTAGTCAGATGGCAGCTGGACTTACAGAGTTATGTGAAGACTCAGCCAGGTTGCGTTTCTAAGGTAGATTCTTTATGTTCATATTCTTTATGAATTCTTTTATATTCATATTCTTTATTTTTTATTCAGCTAGAATTCCTAAAAGAGCTAGGGAGGCTAGCTACTAGGGACTGGCTGATGGTCTCCATAAAGATTCACTACACGGTCAGCCTGGTCTTCACCCTCAACTGCACAGCCATCATAGACATGTTACACAGTGTCCAATTTACCCCATGGGAGTTGTCTAAAACAGCTTGGTAGGGAGTGCAAGGTTTCTTGTTGATTTAGACTCAGAAGTCACATGTGATTGTTTCTGTGTATTAAGAGTGATTCTTAGAGCTATCTCAGATTCAAGAGGAGAGAACTGTATATATGACTCAAATCCTCTTTGGTTTCATTTGAGACAAGATCTTGCTTTCTTTGTAGTTCAAGCTGGCCTTGAACTCACTATTAGTGCAGGCTGCGCTTGAACTTGCAGCTGTCATCCTTCTTCTGGAGTGCTGGGATTACAGGTGTGCATCACCACACCTGACCAGGAACCCTCTTTGGAAACTAGCTTTCTCCACATGCTGCTGTTTTTAGACAGCCTGAAAATACATGAATTGTAAGATGCTTTGCTAACTATGTGAAGTGGGTTCAAGAAGGCAGGCATCCTTGGAAGCATGATAGTGCAAGAAGACTGGTCAAGTTAAAAAAAATTTTTTTCTAAAGAGTCAGTTAAAAAAGACTGTCAAGAGACAGGAAGAAAACTTTAAAAAACTGATGCCACAGAAACCAAAGGGGGAGGGACTCATTACCACCATAGCCATAGGTTCCTAGATTTGTTTGTTGTATTATAAAACAGTTCTGTGGTTTAAACGTACTCTTATATGTGATTTAGAGTTAACCCATTGCAAAGACTGTCCTTTCTTTTAATCATTCACCTCATTCTTCCATATATACATACCCAGTTGATGTCTAAAAGTCCATATACAGTATTTCAATGACTTAATCCAGTGTGAAGCATTTATAATTTATGTGTGCATTGTTATGGTTGCATTTGAAATACTTTGCTGAGAATAGTGTCCTCTAGGAGAAGAAAGAATATAGTACTTCTCTTTTCTTAGAGAGGATGTTGAAAAGATGAGCGATCGCTATGTTGAATGAGGATGATTAAAAAAAAGGTGAGCTTAACAGCATACTTCTGCTGGTCTTGCTAGGATATTCTTTTGAGTTCCAATAAGGTATAATTAGGTGCTATGCACTGAATCACACCACAGAGAGAAAGAAGGTGAAATAGGAATCTCTTTTCTCTTTCTTCCTTCCCTTTCCTTTCCCTTTTCCCTTCCCTTTCCCCCTCCCTCCTTCCCTTCCCTTCCCTTCCCTTTCCTTCCCTCTCTTTCTCCCTCCCTCTCTCCTGCTTTCCCTTCCTTTCAGCCTTGCTTTTTTCTTTATTTGGCCTGTAATTAATAGGTCATTGGTGTTTTCTTTATTTCAGAACACAAAGTTATCATTGTTGGGTTGGATAATGCAGGGAAAACTACCATCCTTTACCAATTGTAAGTATAAACTACCTTAAATTTTTTATTTGGTTGTTTCTAGTTACTTTTCTGACTGGGTGGTATTTGATCAATAAAAGCAATAAAAATTATATAGAACCTAAGTTGTTCTTTCAGGAGAGTTGGCTGTAAACCAAGAGCCAAATTTAATCAACTCTTTTTAGAGAGCTAGACATTTATATGCCATTGAGCATGGTTTTCAGCTGTTTTGCATGAAAGTTCTTTTATTGTAGGAAATAGAAAAATATTTTATTATATAGTTTCCTAGGACAATATAGAATAGTCTAGATATTCTATTACCAAGTTTCAGTTTTGTGTAAACACTGAACTTATTTATTGTATGAGCTAGTGGAAAAAAAATATTTGGGTATAAAATATAAAAGGAAATCATGCTGTTTTGTCCCTTGATTGAAAAATTATTCAAACAGTCTAGCTTCGTTATGAATTGTAATATTTTTGAACTTTTTGTTCCAGTTCTATGAATGAAGTTGTACATACATCCCCTACAATAGGAAGTAATGTAGAAGAGATAGTAATTAATAACACGTGCTTCCTGATGTGGGATATTGGTGGCCAAGAATCTCTTCGCTCTTCCTGGAATACTTACTATACTAATACAGAGGTAATGTTTTTTAATATGCTATCTATGAACAAAATGCTTGTAAAATTTGAACCCTCATAGTTAATCTTTTAAAAATATAAGTATTTTATGCGTGCATAGTAGAATCTTTGATTACCTAGTTCATGGTCATTGCTCTGTATATTTGTTACCATTGAAACTCTGTGTGAAGAATTAATGGCTGAGTGTGTATTAATCCTTAAACTTGTTTCAATATTTATAATTTTTTTCTTACTATTATTACTATTTGGTAACATGGGTGAAATTCCAGTTAATTAGGGCCATAGTGGTTTGCATCTTAGCCAATTTTACTAAGCATTTCCTTCTGTACAAAACAATTGTCCATTAAATAAATCTTTTTCTTTCAATTAAAAAGCATTTTCACAATTGTTTGTTTCTTATTTATATATTACTTCCAAAGTGAAAATTTTAGACCTGTGACACTTGTGTTCATAGTATAGGCCTGTGAATTAAAAGGCTATTATAGTTGTTTTTGCAGTGCTAATTATAAAACATACTCTAAACATATATAAAGCTGACTTTTGAGTTAAAAAATTAAGTATTCTAATGACGACTATATATATATCTTCAGGTATTAAATTATGCCAACACCTGGAAAATTCACAGCTTTATTAAAATACCTTGGAGTAACAGTGATAAACCCATATATCCTTAAGTGAAAGAAGAGAGAAAGTAACAGGTCTCTTACTTGTCTTATGGTTGATGAAAACTATAGAGTAGTAAATACTCTGGAAATCACATTACCTTATTTAGAGATTAATATCATTATAAAAAATAAGGGCAATTTATCAATTGCAGTCAGCATTAATCTGGGCTTCATATATGCCATCATAAGTAAGTTAACTCTACATTTGCTGCAGTTTTTCTCTTGCTTTTTGGTGCTCATGGAGTTGAGGAAGAGGTTCACTGGAGGTCAGTCCCACATAGATCCTTAAGTCTTTCCGTGCCTCTTCTGTTACTAGTCTGATCATCAGTTTAGGAAAGTTCCTTGCAGATAGCAAGTGCCATTTATATGTGGAAAAAAGTCTGTTTTTAGATACAGTCTTACTCTTAATTTGTTAATTTTTAAAAAACAATTGATTTAACTGCCAGATTACTCCCATACACATGCCCTTTTAGACTTTCAAATGGATATTAATAAGTAATACTTGTCTGAAAGTAATTTAAATTTAGGACCATAATGGCTTTTTTGTTTGGTTTTGGTTTTTGCTGACTTAACAATACATTTAGATGGATATAGGTCCATTAGCATTCAAAATAACTAATTTAGAAAACAGTGTTTTATATATTGGTTAGAATGTTAGCATTGTAGTTCCTTTTCTTTTAAAAATTAATAAATATATTTTAACTAGAGGCTTTACAGTGTGTAATAGATACCTCTTATTTTCCAAAATACCATAAGCTTCTAAGTCTTGATAGTAGCCTGTAAATCAAATAAGCACTTTTACCAGTGATATGCAATCACTAATGATGTTTTTGGTAATTATTTTAGTTTGTAATAGTTGTTGTGGACAGTACAGACAGAGAGAGGATTTCTGTAACTAGAGAAGAACTCTACAAAATGTTAGCTCATGAGGTAAGTTGTCTTTCTACATCAGACATGGGAGGAGGATATTTGTGGGACATTGATTTTTTTTCTGATTTCTCGTGTTTGTTACCTATTTTAAATTTTTTTCAAGAAATTCTTGATTGCTGGCCTTGCATGCTTTATATTTTACATTTCTCAAATTTGAAGTATATCTGGAGGCAGCAGAAAGATTGAGGAGTCAACTGTAGAATAGTGTTTCATTTATCCTTGATGAATTTGGTTGGAGGTTTTAGTGCACAAAAAGAATTCTTACAAGTAGCTTTCATTTTGCATTTTGAATAGATTAGTTATATAAAGGATATTATTGGAAGTAAGATTTTTTTGGAGGGGGGAGTAAGATTATTAAATACCTACATATATAACAACTCTTGTTTCTCAGTTATTAGCTAATATTAATTGCTTTTAGGTTTCTCTGGTATTTCCCTTTGACTAAACAAATTATATGCCTAGCTACATTATGTTAATCTTTGGAGAATATTATTAGTGACATAAGTTAAAAATTAAGCCAAGCAAGATAGCACATGCTTTTTATTATTGTTGCTGCCTTCTCAACTATTTATATATAGGAATAGAAAAATTAACATGTAGATGTATAGAGTTTTTCATTTCAGTGAAATTTTTACAAAGCTTAAGAAAATTGGGATATCTTTGTAATGAGATTTTATATTTAACATCAACTTGATGATTTCTTTTGAGATTTAAGAAGTTTGCTGTTTTGGGAAACATTTCAAGACTAGGAAACTTAGTAAAGTTCTTGTTTTCCTTTCAGTGAACAGGTCCATCAAAATGTACTTTTCCCTATTTTAGACCCTAATTCTGGCAGCTATGTTAAACTTCCTGGAGTTTTAAACAACAAATCCTGTTATTGTGCATTCATTTACCAGTTTGATTGTAGCTTGGGATACAGGTACTCACCTTCTTTGAAACTCATCAAATTTGATTTTTCATAAATTTTAATGTAAACATTTTGTCCTGGTACTTGTTTTTTAGTACTCAATGAGCAGGCTATAAATTGTGTATCAATGACCTTGTAACTCACTACTCTTTCGAGCTATCTTCGTTACTTTTCTCTTGTTGCTGAGACAAAATACCCACCACCCACAGTTAAAGGAAGAAATTTGTATTTAGCTCTAAATTTGTAGAGGTTTCAAAAACCAAAGCAGGGTGGCATGGCAGAAGAGAGACAGCTCATGGTAGGCAGAAGATAGCAAAGCAAGCAAGGGATGCCCACAAGTCTTTTTCTCTATCTTATCCAGGCTATTTAGGGTGGGTAGCATTCACACCTTTAATCTTAGTGCCCTTGATCATAGTACTGTATCATGAATCAGTTCTGCCCTTAAATACTCTAGATCCAGCCATCTCTGAAAAAGTACCAACTATGACCCCATGAGACTTTGGGGAGACATCTAAACACAAGCCATAACACTAGCCAAAACAGTTTATTTGGTCCTCATCATTTTTCTATTCATTGCAGCTTCCTGGAACCAGTTAATAATGAGTACCACAGTACTGCTATACAATAACCATAAATAGAAAGCTGAGGTGTTTTTTGTTTTTTTGTTTTTTTAGCTTTGCTTACAAAAAGTATGCCAGCATCCTTTAGATTATTCTAAAGGTTGGTTTTATGAAGACTTTGGAAAGAGAACAAAAGATACAAATGTCTCTTTGATAATATTTTTTTACTGTGTTAACAGGTAGGCTTCCTCATTTGATTGTTACTCTTATTGGCTAATAGATATAGCAGGATCAGTATTTTAAGAGCCTAAGAGTAGGTCTCAAAAAAACAAACAAACAACTTTTAATTTTACTACCTGGGAATATTAAGCTGGGCAGGGTATTTAACTTCATTTGTTATAAGTGAAGTACAGTTAGACAGATAATTTATGTGGCTTAACCAATTTTTAAAGAACGAGAGTTTGAATTTAGGTATTCAGGCTCTGGTAGGGGAAGAAAAAATAAGATATAAGTAAGGCCTAGTTAAAAGTGAGACTGGGGCCAGGGATTTAGCTTCAGTGGTTACAACGCCTGCCTTGCAAGTGCAAGGATCCCTGGTACCAAAAAAAAAAAAAAAAAAAGTGAAAGACTAAACAAGGAGATTGTATAAGAAAAGAATTACACATAAAGTTAGAAGCTGAATATTTAGGGAGTTTGAGTTAAGAGCCCTGTCCAAAACATGCAGTTAGAAGAGGGACAAATGAGTTAAAAAATGAGAACATGCAGCCAGGCATGGTGGGATGCACCTGTAATCTCATTTACTTAGACTGAGGCAAGGAGGACAGGAGAAAGGGCAAGGGAAGGATAAATTTAGACGTGGAACTAAGTGAGGTATTCTATACTTGTTACATTGTATAACAAAATATTAATCATTATCACTATTGATGTAATAATTCTTTACATGTATTCAAAAATATAAAACATTTCTCGTTTTATCTTAAGTCAAAACTTTGAAACTAGTTGATTTTATTTTTTTTCTCATTGAGTTTATTGGTACATTTTAGGTATACAGTACAGTTACATTCATCATTGGGATCTTGTACCTTTATATGACAGGTCTTGGGTCTCATTTCTTCCCCTTGTCCCTGCCCTCCCTTCACCCCCTCCTCCCCTCCCTATTTACAGATACTTTATTTCCATTTTTTCATTTTCTCATTTTTTTTCCTTTTCCCTTATTACCTTTCCTCTTCCTTTCCCATTTCCCCTACAACTTTATCCTGTTTCTTCCTATTTCACATTGTCAATTATATAGTTAGGATCTTATATACAATTACAGTTTTTCACACCAGAGAAACTATTTGGTATTTATACATGTGTGACGTATTAAAACTAGTTTATTTTAAAAGGATTTCAAACACCAAAATCTAAAATTTTCTCCCTAATGACTCAGCCTCTAGGAATTATCTTCACAGATGAAGCTTTGAGAAAGTGACATCTATATATGGAGTACAGATGATGTTTAGTAAATTCATTTGCTGTTACTCATCTTGACTGAAACAAAATACATTTTAAACTATTGAGAACAGATGCATGTAATATGTAGCAGAATGTGTTTAGAATGGCATATGTGCAATCACCATTGTTCATCTTATATTTAACGTGTTTTTAAGTCAAATTGAGGAGCAACCTTAATCCAGTATATCTCCTATTGCTGTCATAGTGTATAATTAGTCTTGTACTTATGTAATGAAAAACAAAGGATAAATTTTCTTTCCTCTTTTCTTAAATATTTAAACATAAGTAACATAGCTGTTTTTCTTTTTAAATGAAGAACTCCTAAATAAAGGCTGAGCCTTTGATACCTAGAAAAAGTTATATTCAATCTTTTATTTTATTTGGAGACTCTTCAATAAATGGCTTTATTTCTTATATTTTTCTATTTCCTTTTCAGGGGTTTTTCTAAATAACTTTGACACTAAGAATGATGAGTATAAATTATTTATAAGTAAAATAATAGAAAAGTATTTTCCTTAACTTGTGCCAAGTACTTCTGTCAGTTAATTCTTTGAACATGCCAGCATTATCAAGTCTGACCTATATAAAAGACTTAAATACATACTCTCAAGGGATGTTGAAACCGAGAAGATGGGAAGACAGGAATTAAATCCCATGGAAAGTTAATCTACTTAGTGATTCAGCAGTATATCAACTCTTGATAATGGTTCCATTTTCCATTTAGAACAAGGGGAAAAAATGTTATGTCCTTGATGATCACTGTATTTGTATATCCCTTCCATTTTTTCAAGTTTTACAGAGACATGTGGCCTGAACTGTAGGTGAAACTAACTGAACATGAGAATTTAAAACTTAACATTGTAGCATTATCACATTTTGAACTTGCTGTTTGGGCAACTGCATCAACTATGATAGCAATGGTAGCTGCAGTCCTGAAGAGGGCAGTGCAACTAAAAGTCAGTCGTGATTGTATAAAACATTTTGCATAACTCCTTTTAACCAAACAAGAAATTTTATATAAGAAAGTAATCATAGAGTAAAATACCATAGAATAATATTGAGGTACCTACTGAAGACTATTTTTTTAAACACATATACACATTATTAAAACCAAAATATTTCTCTGTTTCCTGTTTAAGGGCTCTAAAATCCCTAAAAGAAAAATAATATACAACCCAGGTGAAGAAATTTGCAAGGCTAGGACCTAAACTTATTTTGTCAGTATTTCCAAATAAGATTTATATATAATTTGATGGGACTTTAATTCATTGAGTTGCATCCTTCATGGATTCTTGGCCTAGAATCCATTAAATGAGTTTAAGGTTATCTATAAACACACTGAAATCGTACAAAAACTTCAAAGGAATATTTTTAGTATGAGGAAAAGGTCTGTGACGTTAACTGAATTACCAAGTAAGTCTGACATTCAAACAGCTTGGGGGTGGGGAGGAATAGTACAGAAAGAGACTAAGACTCCTTAGGCCTGTTCTGTGAATAAAACATGCTAGTCATTTGGGGTGTGCACAGTTACTGTACTTGGAAAAGGGTTTGTGTGGTAAGTTTTTGCCTGGATCAGATATGCAATAAATGTAACTAATGAGGAACAAATGGCAAAATATTTAAAGAACTTGCCTCAGACTGATAGCGCTTAAGTAGTAGAACTTCCTAATTGGGGAAATTTGGTGAATGTAATGCCAATCCAAGATGACTGTTGTATATGTGGATCTCAGAAATCTTGGACAAAGAGGAGTTAGATTTGAGTAGGATTGGTTTAGGATACTGTGTCTCAACTAAAAGTTTAGGCCTAAAGGCATACATTGTATATAATGAATTTAATTATTTCTTATACACCTAGAAGGTACTAGCTGTGTACCCTGTTGAGATACTTGCAGGATAGTACAGTCACTGAAATAATTTTTTGTAGAGCTTAATTCTCTTACAGAATTCTGGCTGTGAAAGGCTGCTGTAGAAAGCTGAAAGGACAGGAATGGATGCAGGTGAAATGATTTGAATAGCAAAGAGATGGAACTGCCCAAAACTCACAGGGAAGAAGATAACTTGCTAATTAAAATAGAATATTTATATAGTGAGTGATGTTAGGTAAGGCAGAAAATGTAAGTTATTAGTAAGAGAGAATCATGGAGAGCTCTTGAGTACCAGACTAATGGTGGCTCTCAGCAATTTATACCTAATTTTGTATTGAGGTAATGGATATATATTTGACTGTATGACTTTTAAACAAAGGACCATAAAAAATAGTAGTCCAAGATTTCAAGAAATATATAAATCTGTACAGTTACATATTTATTTATTTTAAATGTACAGTGTTGTTTAAGTTTACTTCTGTCAGCCTGTAAGCTGTGAGGTGCTTTTGTGTAGAATTAATTCTTGGTTACTAAGATTATGAAAAATAGTTAAATGGGAAAGTATATGGAAATATGTACTTGCCTTTAAAGGTTCATTTGCTTTTATAGGACCTAAGGAAAGCTGGACTGCTGATTTTTGCTAATAAACAAGATGTTAAAGAGTGCATGACTGTAGCAGAAATCTCCCAGTTCTTGAAGCTCACTTCTATTAAAGATCACCAGTGGCATATCCAGGCATGCTGTGCTCTTACTGGCGAGGGGTAAGAAATGTTCCTCTTAGGTGATAATGCATCTAGCTTAGCAACATATGTGTCTTTGTAAAATCAATACATATTTGAGGAAGAGATGAAAGACATAGTTGGTGTCCACATTCAGATTTTTCAGGATGATTCTTTAAATACTAAAACACATCATAATCACATACAGGTGCACATTCCCTATGATGAATGTGATCAGTATGCATACCTAAAATGTACTGATAAACTCAATTTTTAAAAAATGAAGCAACATAAACATAATACATATAAACCTTCTTGAAATAGTACACACAAGAATATAGATGATGTAGTTGCTATAGGAGCTCAGAAATAGTGTTGAGAGCTGGAGAAGTCAGAATATTCTTAGGTGTTTATATTATACCATGTTTTTAATTAGAATTGATGAAGCAATTGAAAAGTGGGAGGTGGGTTTTAGAAAAACAGCTGGAAACTTAAGTATGGCAAGAAGAGGAAGGACAGATGAAATAGAGCAGTTGAAAATAGATAAAAGCTAAAAAGAAGAAAAAAATTAAATTTTAAGTTGAGGTTCTTGAAGAATTGAGAAAAGGCAGAAGCTTGGAGTATAGTTTGATGACTTCATTTAACAGAATTTTTCTCTCAAGACCATGATGAAAGATGATCCAGAGTTACAAGTTACTGAAGCTAAGTCTTAGGGAGATAGAAGATATTTGGACAGACATTTGGAAGAGCATAATTAGAACCTTAAGCAAACTTGTGCATTAAAAATTATCTATTATTTATATATTCATTAAAAATGTTACATATTTGTGAAGTAGCTTAGTATATGGTGAGATATTACAGTATTCAATTTGGTAATGACAAGTCATTTAGGCTTTACATAAGATTTAATTTGTATACTTTGATGATTGAATAATTGGATGGTATAGCATGGATAGTATAGCTCCAAAGTCACTTTCATGTTAAAAAAAAAGGAAGTAGTAGATGGTACTACCTTTTAAAATTTTGGTTCATACAGGATTCCATTTGTAGCAGTTGGCAAGTAGAAATGTTTTATTTGGAGGAAGATGTTCCATTTTCCTTCTGCATTAAGGAATACCTTGCTTGAAATTCTTCATTTTGCTTTTGGTCAACATTTGATTTAATAGACTGGAGTTCACCAACTTTGGAAATTGACCTCATTTTAACTCCCACTTCTCTCATTTGCTAACATTTGTATCATCTGTAACATGGAAAGGATCCTGATCTTACTGTTTTGAAGATTAATTAAAATAATGATATCAAAATAGTTTCTAGTTTGCTATTAGGTAAATAATGTTCATTTAACAGTGTGAAGTTAAGGCTATTCATTTATTATTGTTTTCTACTGTTTCAGTAGTTTAAAAGTAGGAATCTTGTTACTGGAGAAAATTTTAGGCTACCCCAAAACAATCATTTGTATACCTCATTGCCATTTATTTTTACCTTCTTTTATGTGAAACAGAAATATCAAGTTTTTAAAATTTAGTATTGTAGCATAGTTTTTCATATATACAAAAACTTCATCATATGTAGTTAATACTTCATGACAGTCCTTCATTTTGTTGTCATAATACAGTTTCTCTCATTAAACATTTAGTTTGCCACAGTAAACACTACCCCTCTATTTTTTAATACTCTTAGTTATTTTTGTTTTTTGAAATGGAGTCTTTGCCCAGGCTGACCTTGAATTGAGAGTCTCCTGCCTCATCCTTCCAAGTAGCTGGGATTATAGGCATGTGCCACCATATACCCAGACCTTTCTATATTTTTGGATTAGTTCATTTACCCATTGTTCAATGATAATTTGTGCCAATGATGTGAGATGTTATTGCCTTCATATTTTTTATATTCATGTATGTGTACTTTATGTTCACTTTATATTTAATATCCTGTCTTTTTTACTTCATTGATAGTCATGAGCATTTTTCACATCAAAATACTTTAAAAAGAAATGTTTTAATAGTTCACAATAGAAATATTGCATAATTCATTTTTTCTCTTATTTCTACACATTTAAATTCTATTTTTTTTGTCTTAAAAGTACTTTAGGAACAGTCTAAAATCTTTTTCACTCGATTTCTTTTTTCCCTCATTGAGTTTATTGGTACATTTTAGGTATACAGTACAGTTACATTTATTATTGGGATTTTGTACCTTTACATGACTTACCTTGGTTCTCATTTTTTCCCCGTGTCCCTACCCTCCCTTCACCCCTCCTCCCTCCCCCTTTACAAACACTTCATTTCCAGTTCTTCATTTTCTCATTCTTTCACTCGATTTTTGATACATAATCTAGAATTAGAAAAGTGGATACACAGTAATGATATTTTTTGTATTTTTGACATATTGCCAAACTGTACTCTGCACATTAGTCATGCAGTGTCAGGCAGTGTTCCCCCCATAGATAAAACTGAACCAAAAGCATGGATGTTTTGTGTATGAGTGTATGGCTTCATTGCAATAGCACTAGCTTTGAATATTACTGATTATTAAATTTTTGTTTTTCAAGTAAATAAAAAACATTTTTAGTTTACAGTCCATAGCTTTTTAATTCACAAGTTAATTAAAAAAAATTTTTTTTGTAGATTATGCCAAGGGCTTGAATGGATGATGTCACGACTTAAGATTAGATGATCTCTACTGACCTCTTGTCATAGACTCTGTAAAGACAAAGTGCTGGACTTTACCTGAAAGCTGCAAAAATTAATGGTTTAGATATATTTATAATAAACTGATTTAAACTTTTTCTAAAGAAGAAAAATTAAGACCACTTATTTGAAAACAAGGATGAAGTTTCACCTTCCAGTTTGCTTTCTCATTAGTTCCTTCCAAAGTATGTTATTAAAGCTGTGATTGCTATTTTTCTCTTAATAAATCCTCTCAGGACATTGTAGAGCCTGTGGTAAGTACAAAGGGAGAGGAAGACATTTTGAACTTTAAAGAGCTTTATTGTCAGTTTAACTAACCCTCCCTAGTTGAATGTTGTTTTCTTCCTGTTCCATTAAGTCAAAATACAAATCAGCACATACTCTTTCCAATATTTTGAAATGTAATGTCACTTACAAAAAGTATTTTGCTTAAGGCTGTGTATGTATCGTGTATATACCTCAAGTTCAAGTTAATGGCTTTGATTTATGTCCTAAGAAAAGCAAATAAGAAAAATTAATATCCTTAGTTGTTACCATAATGAGATAAGTACTGGCACTGGTATTAAAGTGCTGTTTTGTACTTTTCTTCTGTGTTATCTGTATTGTACTAACCAACCCCTAATCATTGAGCTGCTCTTCAAAAAAAAGGAAAGAAAGAGATGAAAAAGCTTGACATAGTATACCTATTTTTTGTTGCTTAATAGCACACATGGAAGCATAACCCAGTTGAGTAGACTGTCAGATTCTTGGTTTAGTATTACTAATGAACCAAGTTGCACCATGAAGAATTGTTACATTTATTCCTTTTCTTGGTTTTCTCAATTGCTGAATAAATTGTTAATCTGTTAATCAGTTGGTCAGAAATTGCAGTTAAAACTATCCAGTGATTTCTTCTTGATTAAAAACTATTCTGTGAAACAGAGAGGTACTATTCTAAAAATATTGAACAATTTAGCTAAAATATTTTAAAGTACTAAATTATATGCCAAGCAATTAAAGCAGTTAAAGTGAATTTGAAAGTGTAACACATACTTTCCAAGAAATATTGGTAATTTCTTAATTTGGGAATCTCTTATTTTAGGAGTAGGAATAGTTTGAGATTTTGTTTCCACAAGTTTTCTTTTGCTTAACAGTTATAAAGTACAATTTTTTAATGCTTTTGTGAATTTGATTAAGAAATTGATTGACATGGTATATTATTTGTACTAAGAAATAATTTGACCCAAAACACTTTTTATATTTGCATAGGGTTTTTGGTTTGTCTTTTGCTATCTTCAGAGGTGTTTCTGTCATAACTAAAAAAAATTAACCTGTGTTAAAAACATATTTTTGGGTAATCTGTTCATGTATCTTTCATGCTCTGAAATTTTGAAGGTTAATTCAAAATGGCATGTTACAGAATATGCAAGAAAAATAACTACTCTTAATACCAGCTTTTTAAATTTCAGTAAAGGTTTTGGTAAAGAATAATAGTACATATAATAAAAGCATTGATGAAACTTTTAAAGTTTCTTTCTATAAAATATAAATTACTCAATATCTTAAATCCAAATTAGGCGTGAAAGATCAGTATTAATGTTGGATTTTTGTGTTTTAATTGCTTTAATGTTCAAATGAAGATAAAACATTTAATATTTGTCAACATGCTTTTACAAAAGTAAATCTTAAAGTACTAAGCTTTGTTCATATGTTCTCATACTTTTTCAAATCACTACAAGAATTGACTTCTTGTTATTAAAAATTCCCTTAAAATCCAAATCTATTTTGTAATTTCCTCAGAGACAAATATTCTGCAAAGTAGATCTGAAAATCTACACCTTTTTTTCTTTTTATGTTTTAATTTGAATAATAATGTGTTCAGTCTCCTGAATTACTACCACATCAGTCCAGTGTGATACCAGCACATTCCTTTGTCACTGAGATGTTGTCTGTGGTGTATTCTTTATTAGATATGTAAAGCATGTACTGCATTGTTACAGTTGGTTTAGTATAGTTGATTATTGACATCCTATCATGAGAATATATGAAATCTTACACCACATTTACAAAACATGACTTTTGGTTGGTTTCCTACCCTTCTAGGTTATACATCAAAAATAAGATCGTAGCTATGTACTTGTACATAAAACCAAGATTACAGCTGGGAAAAAACAATGTAAGTTAATGTAGGAAAATACAAAATAATTTTAACAGTATTATTTCCAAATAAAATATAAAGCCTCATGAATAGTCATATTGGTAATTTATAATATAACTTAAGTGGAATTAAGCAAAGGAGAATTCTTGTGAGTTTCTACTATGCTACTTATCTCATTTAACGTCATTGTGTTCAACTTTGAAAAGAACAATTTATACCTCTGTACATGTGGCTGGATTTAAATATCCTGTTTTGATACTAATTTTGAAAGTCATATAACTTAATAATTTGGTAAAAATGATCATATGCTAAAACATTGAATATTTACTTTTGTTGTAATAGCATTTATAAAGTAGATCTTTTACATTATATTGAGGATTCTGTTTGAAATTTTTAGTTTTCCTTAGCAGCACATCTTGGCCTTCATGATGGGCAAAAAATGCAGTGAAGACAAGTGTGTTGGGGCAGTGGGGCTTGGTTATTCATTTTCTTATATGACATTTTGCCTTAAGTATAAAAACATGCTTTAGCACCACTGGTTGGCATTTTTAATGCAGGTGGTGAATGTGTTTTTTAGAGGTATGGCATAAAGTAAAGGGAAAAAGAGCTTGTTTTCTGGCCTGTTAAATGTGTAGGGCTGGGGATTTAGCTCAGTGGTTCGGTGGCCTGCCTTGCAAGCACAAGGACCCGAGTTCAATCCCCGGTACCAAAAACTAAATAAAAACATAAATAAATGTGTGGTGGTAACAGTAGTCACAGCAGGGAGCTTAAAGAAAGAAAAGTGTGAGGCCCCTGAGATCTTTTCATTTTATCTGAGTGTGTAGTATTAAAATGCCTAGGAATGGGACTTTATTGTCCCCTCTTTTACAGGCACTTTACATTTCTTGCTGTGACCACAACCACATACAGTACAGACAACCTCAAAATCTGTTTATATTAGTGTAAATAGAAAAACTATAGACAACTTTCTAGTTTTCTCTGCAGGCAGTTTTTAGAATGTATCTGTATGCTGCTTTACTTTGTATATAAGGGATAGCAGTACATTGTAGACTGTCAGAACTTTGGGGTCTTTTCTCAACTGCCCATTTGTGTCCTGGCATCAGTCTCATTGTGACGGCTGAGTAAAGTTTCTTCCCATGACTTGACTTTGGCCTCTCCCATTTTTCAAATATAATGTGGAGCTTCTTGCATAAGGATTGACTTTCACATAGTTTAGCTACCCTTGTTCTGTATATTCATTTACCATTAGTGAACTTACATTTTCTCTGTCCTAAGATATGTTAAACTTGGCCTGTAACCTTATTCTCCAACCACTAGTTTCTGCATAGCTTCTCTGATTCCTAACTATGCACCTATCACAAGCTTGATTTACTGATTTGGACTTTGCTCATTAGAGGGCATTGCCAGAAGACTAGATTGAGTCGATCAGAAGACCAGATTGTGGTATAGACAGTGTACAGCTGCCGTAATTGAATCCTACAAATTAATAGTGTATTTAACATTTTAAACCTTTTTAACTTTAACTGTACATTCTGAGAAGTAATTTCAGGAGGATAAAAGAAATATCTAAACTCTCCCTGCTACTTACTAATTAGGCTTGGAGTTTGTTACATGTGTATTACCTGCCCTTTAACAACAACGGTTGTTTTGGAGATACCAATTCAATGAAGTTAAATTGGAAAAAGATGCGAAATGGAATTTGTGTGTAGTGTTTAACCTAAAGACTTCCTTAATCCATTACCCTATTCCATTTTTCCCCTTCATATTTACTAAACGAACAAAGATAGCATTAGATGTCTAAAGGAATTAGTAATAAGCCTATTTTTACAAAATGAACCTATTGAAATAGACATCAGAATAATCAAGACATCAGAATAACCAACTTCATGCATTGACTGTGTAAATGCAGATACATTACAGAAAATGTCTTTAAAGCTCCACTTACTTAAAACTATATCAAAGAATATAAAATAATTTTAAGACCATAATAGTGGAGTAATGGAAAGCTAGAATTTAGCACTTTGAATGCTAAAACGTGACTTCTTGTATTTAACCTTAGAATGGTGTGGTGGGGATATGAAGAAATGTAACAGGATACTGTTGGATTGCTTATGCAATGTCTCTTACAATTGTCCAGCCCTTGCATATTGTTCTAAAAACTAAAGCTTAAATTTTCATGTTGTTGCCTGCTAGATGTGCTGTTCTTTGGTAGAAAATTCCCATGGTCTGTATTCAAGAAGTGCCTGAAATTGATTTGTGTTGATTTTTATGTCCATATAATAAATTATATGTTTTCTATGGTATTGTATGTGCTTGTTTTACTGATGACCCAGAACTGAGGTTTTCCAAGTCTCAATTTGTGCTTCATTTGAATAAAAAGGCTTGAGATTAAAAGATAACCATCTAATCCTCAACAAATCACAGTGTAAATACGTGCTGGCAAAGCCATTTTCTCTCTGGTTAAAATATTTCATGTCCATAGCACTAGGGACCTGCTACATTGGGCAGAGACTAGAAAACTTAACTCTTCCTGCTTTTTAAAGTAATTTTAAGAGAAAATTATACTACATTTTTAAAAACTTTTTAGTAAGCATTTGCTGTTTGCATAAGAGTAACCTTTGCATTCTCATAGTGGTTAATAATGTTGAGTGTTATATCATTTAGATTTTAAGCCATTTTATTTCTGTATGTGCCAAACTCTAATTATATCTGTGTACCAAAATATTTGATCAAATCTTATTACATTTCTCATTTAGTTCAATTATTTAAAAAAAAAAAACTGACCATAGAGTATAATTGTATATTCTAGAATAATGCTTGGCTGTATTTCCAGTGTTGTACATTGTGTTCATATTGCAAATCATCTTGCATGGAAAGCAAAATGTGTATATGACTTTAAATTGTTATAATGTGTACTCTTCCCTTCCCTAAACTTCATACATTGATGATATACAGAATTGCTCATTATTTTTGCTTGAAACTAGTCAGATTGGAGTAGCTTTTTCTTGTATGTCCCTCTATGTTCTCATGAGACAAGGTAATGCCTGCAAAGCACTTTTAAAGGTATTTTTTTAGGTTAAGGTCCCAAGATAACAGCCCTGAGGTGGCAGCTATGTGTGATAAGTGCTCTTTTTGTTGCTAGAGTTAAGAAAAATGTATGGTAATCATTTAAATTATTACATAAAATACATTTTACTAATTGCATTAATTTTATTATAAGTTCTTTAGCTATTAATCTTACTATATTTTCCTAAACATGCCTAGTTAAAAACCTATTCCAACCAGTTTCTTTGTATAACCCCACCACCACAACTCCTACTGCCAAAATAAGGTCTGTGCGTACAGTATTGGTAAATGGGGGAAAGTTTTGAAAAATTTTAGGTTGATTTTGTTAAAATTTCCAATACAGTAAAAACGTTTCACTCAAGCTGTGCATGCAAGAAGGGGGAAATTTTGTGTTCTATTGTTTTGTGAACTTGTGTTTCTCTATATGCTAGAGAAATCTCACACGTAAGTAATATTCCAGAAATTGATGTTGGGGTGCTTTGGTGCTTTTGTGTTTCCTCAGTGCTAATGTGCTAGGTATCTAGGAAAATAATGCTTCAGGGCCTTCTTGATAAGACAGTTTCATGGATGGCGATGGGATATTTGAGGGGAGGGAGTCGGTAGATTGGAGGAGGGACTTTTTCATCGATAGAACAATGTTGTCAATGTGTACATACCACTGCTTCATTATACTTGTACTAATGTCCTTGTGTCCATAATTGACTGAAATGTCAAGCTCCAGAAATGTATTGGCCAGGTGACTAATAAGCAGTAAGACCATACTGACTATGAAATTGAAGAATAAAGTCAAGGTAGTTGGGGAAGGGTTGAAATTACTACTGAATTTCTGTGTTCAATATGTATATTAAAATTTTTTAAGTTGTATGTGAACTTGCTATATTGTCTCTGCTTAATGCTTTGAGGGAAAAGGGAAAAGCTAAGATAAATTGTTATTCTCATGTACTGTTACGTTTACCTTTTCTTTTTAGAAAGGATTAATTATAGCTATTATCACACCTCTGTGTTGTCAGTGTTTTTATTCTGGTTTATTCTCTTAAATGTACAGATTCATTAGTAGTAGGTCTAGGATCTGCCATGGCAGTTGAAAAGGTAGCCCAACTGCATTATGTAGATGACAGATACTGGCTTGAGGAGTTCTCAGACACTTCTGTAGAAGTTAGTTAATAGAGAGCTGTCTTTATTTTACTTCTCAGTGTTAGAATTGGAAATGAGTCTGAGAACAAATGACCAATGTGAGATTGATTTGTTTTAAAATGTGAGAAAAATTCAGTCATTTAAAATGAGCCTGGGGCTGGGGATTTAGCTCAGCAGTTTGGTGGCCTGCCTTGCAAGTGCAAGGACCCAAGTTCAATCCCTGGTACCAAAAAAAATAAAATAAAATGAGCCTTAGTGAACATTCATGAGCATGAATGGTAGTAAACAGAGCCAGGAAAGGAAAAAAGTGAGGAGTCATCCCCTGACGTATGCATACTTGAATATTGTCTTTCTCCTCTCAACTAGATCATAAGCACCAGGAGGGCGATGACCCTAGGTGTTGTGTTGATCAATTCATATCTTTTTAGGGATTCAAAGTGACTGTGTTTTTCATGTTAGTTCTTATAGTAAACAGGACTTTCTTTAAAATGTCCTAAAAGCGCCAAGTAGTGGCAGGCAAATACACAAATTTTATTTATTTGATATCTGTGGATCTCCATCTGACCTACTAAGTGTTTGCAACCTTGAAATAGTACATGGTTCATCAGCTCTTTTGTGGGGGGGCTGTCATTCTATTGCTATTTTATGTCTTCAGTTTTCATATCTGGAATATTCCCTTTATAAATCTTATGAAGTGAATGAGATTTTTCACATTAAAGTAGCCTCTGATGCTCCTTTTGAATGAGTTCTCTTTGATTGATGGAATCCCTGAATTGGAATGCTCGGGTGACCAGTTGTTCCACTCCTACATTCCTTACATTCTGGTAAATCATTTTATATCAAGAAGTGTGTTCATTTTCAAGTCTTTGAAACAGTCCCAATGTATTTAGATCACAAAGCTATTCTACTATTTTTCTTATTACCAGGGATTTTGTGATGAAGTACTTAGTGTTTAGGATTATTCCTGTTGGCTTTTGGATTAAATGGTATGATGGAGTTTAAGAATACCTCTTCCATGTTTTCACAAGTATGTATTTAAAAAACTATTCCAACTTAATAGAAGGACAAATATGCTGTCTTACTTTGAACTTACTTGGTTATTGAAGCTATTTTTCTACATGTTTTAATTTCCCCTTAATTGTTCTTTTTGATTTATTAGAATCCTGGCATTTTTTTATGAGTAACTTAAATATGATAAATGTTTTTGTAGATTTTCTAATAGCCTGTCCCTTAGATTTAGTGATCTTTTTAACATGTTTATTGATGTAAAAAAATTATGTAAGAGATACTTTTTAAAAGTGGAATCCAGAGCCGGGCACAGTGGTGCAGCTTGTAATCCCAGCCTTCGGGAGGCTGAGGCAGGAGGATCACTGAGTTCAAGACCAGCCTGGGCTACATAGTTCCAGGTCAGTCTCAACTACATAGTAAGAACCTGCCTCAAAAAACAAAACAAAAAGACAGAATAAAAGTGGAATCCAAAAAAGCACAGTCCAAAAAAACAAAAACAAAACCCGTTGTCCCATCATTCTAAGAAAACCATTACCAGCACTTTACATGTGACTTTTGTGTGCTCTTAAGTTTTTCACAGCATAAACATCTTTGTGAACATCTTTTACAT